CCTCAGTTATTTATACTGTGGAGCTCTAACCATGGCCTCGCAGTACCTTCCCCCCACTTTAGCCTACGGCGAGGCCCGCGTACCCCGCCCCTACCTTCCTTTACTTATTTCGAAACGTGAGGAGAATCACCGACAACGAACCGGCCCCCTGCCTTCGTCACCAAGGATCTTGCCACCTCATCTGGCCCTTCTTCACCTTGGTCTTCTCGCTGGCCGCCTTCATTGAAGCTTGCTTTGCCTCCTTCGACGTCTTGCGCAGCCTTAACTCCTCATCAAGCTCCGCCGCCTTGTCGAGTAGGCGACTCATGACCAGGAACTCTAACGACTCGAAGCGAACGTCAATTCTGTTTGCCTCGTCGAAATCGTCGAACCTCTCATTGGTGAGATCGTCCGCCTCCTGATTCTGCCACCTTGGAACCCACTGTAGGTCGAGATCAATGCCACACCTGTCCAGCTGCGACGCCAGTTCCATGGCCACAATGCTCAACGGAAATTTGCTGCTGCCAAACTTCTTCAACACATGGGCGTTGCCAAGATTATCGGTCAGCGCTGTAAGAGTGACCAAAGAATCGCCCTTTGACCACTCTGCATCCGGTGCAAGCACCATGACAGCCGCCAGAACACCAATAAGCTCCAACGTGGCGATGGAGCGAAAAGGATCGCCCTTCAGATAAGCCCACGCCGCGTTGCGACGATTCAACCGAAAGGAGAACCAGCGCGCATGCTTCTGTTCCACCCTCTTCCAAGTTTCCCAGCCGCCAATCACTATCTCTTCCCCAGCCGCCTTTGCGTCCACGCGGAAGATGTCAATGGGCGCCGTCATCAACGGCTCCAGCGGCCGCGTCGGCTTGCGCGACACCTCCCCCTTCACGTACTCGAGGAGTATGATCACCGCGTCCGGGAACTTGGCAAAAGTACCTCCTGCTAGAGTGGCTGACCAGGAGAACAAAGGCGCAAGGAACGGCCTCACGTGACGTAAGGCCCCAGCGACAAAGGAGAGCCGACCCAGCGCGGATTTCAGCTCTCGACCGAGCACTCCACCCTGTTCCAGCTTTGTGTCGATCCAACCTTGGATCCAGCGCCTCTTGGACTCATTGATGCCCCGCTCGAAGGTGGAGACGTTCAAGTGGTAACCAATCCAGTCAACCTCAGCTCCTCCCCTGACCTTCTTCCAGGTGACCGGTATCTCCAAGAGCTCAAATGGGAACAGCCAGAGGAGGATCTTCTTCCAGAAACGAACCCCTGTTGCCGTCAACCACCCATCATCGGCATATATCAAGTGAAGCACACCCATGTAACGCCCCATGATGCGATGGCAGCACCTAACCACCACCCCAATGGCACGGCCGAACCAATATGCAGCGCTAGCGATGCCGAAGGTGCCACGGGTGTGCACGAAGATGTCTCCCGAGTCTTCACCCGGAAGCCTGAAGGCTTGCAGACCCCAGTCCTCCTCTCTGACCGGCCCCAGTTTGTGGGCGCTGGCAATGTCATAGAGAACCGAGAACCTGATGGCCTCCTTTCGCTCGCGCTTCTCCTCCTCCACCTGCCGCAGTATGGCCGCAGCATCATCGATCAGCGGGAAGCGCATGCGGTCCCGGACCCGGATACGGCGATTGACATCCACACTGTACGTGCCGTCGTGTATCAACCTCACTCTCGTGGTGCCAATCTCCTTGGGAACCGCTCCAAGCGCGGCCACAGCCAACCGACCACCAAACTTCTCCCTGGCATCTCGCTCCGACAGACGCAGAATGGTGCCTTTCTGGACTTCCTCCAACACCTGTCTTGCAATGTCTCCAGAGTTCTCTTCTGCTGACACATAGTTGTCCGCCAGGATGTCATGAAACTCCTCCTCTGTCTGCTCAACTGTCCACTTCAACTTTTCTTCGTATACCGCCGGGGTTCTCGGCAGCTCCTCATCCACCCCCAGCGGCACGCCTCTGGATGCTACCTCCTCCAGAAACTCATAGTCTTCATCCGCCAGCACCTGAGCCACCGCCGCCAGCCTCCTAAAGTTGATCTCAGTGGACCTGTCGGATCCTCTCCTCCTTGGGCGCAACTTTCTCTCTTCCAGCCATAGGTCCAACCTTTCACGAAACCCGAAGATCTCCCCGCCAAAGGGTGTGCCTCCAAGCTTGCCTCCAGCTGTGGACCAGAATAGCTGTTTGACCCTTTCTTCGCCCTCGAGCTCCACCCAATCCTCGAAGGCCTTCACACACCACCTTGCCAGCTCTCTGCCCTGCTCTGTTGCCGGGGCGGTGCGTCGGCCCACCGGCCATCTTCCTGGAGAGCAGAGCCCTGCTCCATCATGAATTGCACGAAGATCACCCTTATATCTTGTCTGCATCGGCGGGCCCACGCCGGGCCGGCCACCCGAGATGCTCAATGTCGACTTGCTCAATGTTGCATTGTTGCTCGACACCATTGCTGTACCCTTTGCGCTGTTGCTCAATGTTGTTGCACTGCTCAATGTTGCACTGCTCAATGCACCATCCTCCACCTTCCGTCGCTTGCTGGCCACGTCCTGCTGTTGAGCCGTCTTCGAAGCCAAGCCCCCCACTTTAGCTGAAGGTGGGTCAACATGCAGTAACAGCGTCAAAGATAGCTTGGGCAATGGCCCTGTCCATAGGCTCTGGATAGATGGAAGTGGCAGTTGTGCGAAAGTCTGCATCTGTAGCTTGCCGAGCCAGGGACACCGAAGGGACACAACTGCACAAATCTGTGACTGGACCCAAGTAAACGCCTTGAGAGTCGAAGGCAGGCCAGGTGCAAGGCCCCCATTTCCGCAAGGCCTTCAAATGTGTAATCAACCGGGTGGGCTTTCGGTAGGGAGCACTCCAACAGCATTGGTTAAATGCCACTGTAAAGAGCTGCAAGCTGTTGTTGCCTTGCACCCGCTGTTGTAGCTGCGGAAGCTGCCAGATCGACGCAGGTTGCATGCGCGTCCCATCTTCTTCTCTGAAGATGACCCCGAGGTCCTCAGGGTGTTCTCCGAAGATGAGGACGAGGCGACCGTCGTGTGTGTATGGATGATTCTCCAGCATTTCCAGAACCTCCAGCATGAAACGGATCAGCACGTTGCCCAGGTCAGCATCTCTCTGATGCTTCTTGGACAGCCATGGAAAACCCCATGGATGCTCGCGGGACCGTATCATGGGTGGTCCCCGACAGTTGGCACCTCGCACTCTGCTCCAGGTCGAACATGGCGGAGTGATGAGCACCACATGATAAAATCCTTCTCTCAACTGCCCCAGCAACTTTTGTTGAAAGGCCTTGTCCGAAAGGTCCCACTCCGGGGAGTTCTGTATATCAATTTCATGCAGCTCAAATTCTATCATAGTGCCCTTTGCCCTCTCTTGCAAGAACGAAGCCACGGATGCCTTCCTTTGTGCTCCGCTGAACAAGTAGAGGACCCTGCAAACCCGTATGCCTCTCGTAGTGACCACCTTTGACGAAGGGGCTGAGGCGACCCCCTCCGTCCTATCTTTTCAAGCCCCTTTGTTGCCCTCGGCTGGCGAACCAGCCGTGTCTTTGGGCTTCCCTGAACCATCGCAAGCATGTGCCGGGTGAGGCCCGAAGCATAGCTGGCAAACATGAAGACGACCACACTGGAATCGGCAGCGCTCGCGAGGATTGTTCCACTTCCAGCAAATCTGCCTGCCGTCTGGGGTGCGATCATGCATCTGCTTGCCCTTCTTTCCTTTGCCACGGCCCTTCTTGCTCTTGCCCTTTGCTTTGGGCTGCTCATACTGTTCTGCTGGCCACTGACTCCATGTCCGTGGTGGGCTTCTGGATCGTGTGTAGTCACCCCGAGACGTCCCGCTGTTGCTCGAAACCTGCGAGTACACGTTCGGTGTGAGAATATCTCTCTTTGATTGTTGTGTCTGTCATGGCCTCCTTCAATGCTTCCACCATTGTTGCACCCTCGTTGATGAGCTTCACCATCTGACGACGAATCTGGAAGTCATACGACAGCATCAAATCGAAGTCTGGCGAGGCAATGACTGTGCCGTCCTTGTCCCTCGCCTTCAAGCCAAGGACATGGTCGCCCAACATCAAATCCAAGTACTTGAGGAAATGTTGTGGCTGCAAATCCCTCAAGCTCGCCTTCTGAGGATACTTCAACTGGGCCATCAAATAGGAGTTTGCCACCACTGACATTCGCTTGCGAAACTCTTCCGGACCACGGGGTTTCTGGCACTCCCCGTAGCCCTTCTTTATCTTGAGTGTTCCTGTTCCCTTCTCGACTGTTGCACCCAAGATGTCCGCCTCCGCATCTTCTCTGCTCAGGAACTGCACAAGGCTCATGTTCTTGAGCTCACCCTGCTCGATCTGGTCGAAGATCTGCTCCAGGGTGGAGGTAGCTGGAGTGTTTCTATCCTCCAGCTTGATACCATGCACTTTCTGGAACTTGACCAGCAACTCCTGAACCTCAACCTTGTTGAGTGCCCTCGGCATGCTTGCAACGCCAGCCTCAGCTTCTGCCTTGTTCCTCACTGTAATCCTGGTGCTTGCTGACTCCCAGGTGTCCACCAAAGATGCGATCTCCACCACATCGTGTGCAGCATCCATGCCCAGAACGTCCACACAGAAGCTCCTCATCGCTGTGCGATTGTCCGCGATAGTGCTCATCCGGCTCATACTGCGAACCTTTGCCACAGACAGCTTTGCCTGCAGCACTTCATCCACCTCCTTGACCTGTAGCAGGCCGTGGAGGTCTGCGTCCACGAGGGCGATTGCGTTTCGCCGCCGCTCCTCGGTGTCGTGCCCGATGCCTGCCATGCCCAGGCACCCAACCGCACCGGCACAGGATTTGCCGGCGCGTCTTCGGCCCACTTCCTTAGGCCGAAAGGCTGTCTCCGGATCATCTCACCTGTCGGTTCGCTCATGCCAACATGTCTGCATGTCAGATGCACAAAGCACTGCAACACTCCTGAGCACATGCCAACCTACTACAAGCCTCTTACAACACTCGACCGACCGACACGACGGCTTCCCCCCGGATGCCTACTCCTTCCACCTAGCTCTCACTACCTTTCCCCCGTGCAGCACCCTGACCGATCGTTTTCGAAAACGCGTCCCCCGCGCTGCACCTTTCCACGCGGACTCTGGAATCTCTTGTCTCGCGGGGTGAGTTCCCTATTCGATCTCTTCACCCCGCGCTCTCTTCATCCGTCTCGGTCATCTCCGACGATGACACCTCTCCCGAGGACTCTTCCTCCCCGCGAGCTTCCTCTGCCTCAGAAATCCCCTTTCTGAAGCACTGACGGCATGCCTTATGGTATGCCGATGCACTGGGTGCTTCCTCTCCCAGTACCTCGAATTGTGCGTAATGCACCCCCGGCTGGCGATGGCATTCGCCAATCCTATGCAAGGTCTTGGTCTTTGACCGACCTACAATGGAGACAACGAACATGCCCGCTACCTTCTCTAGCGGCACCACGTCAGTCGGCGCTTCCGCCTCGCCGCCCGAGCTCATTGCCTCCTCCATCTGTGCCTCCTGCTCGGACTTCACCTCCACCGTGTCAGCCGGTTCCTCCACTAGCACCACCGGACCCGTTGTCGTCCAATTCGGCTTTCGGCAAGGCTTTGCCGCTCCCTCGCCTGGCATGAATGTCATCAGGCGCATCATCTGCTCATCGCATGAGTCTTGATCATGACCCATGCCTTTCATGCGCTGCTCGACCAACTGCACCACAAAGGTCTCGTCGAACGGATCCGAGTTTGCCATGTTTTCCTTGATGAAGACAGCCACCACTTTCTGACAGCGCAGGACATTCGTCCTCACATTCTGTTCATAGCCCTCATCTGCCGAAGGTCTCCAACGTCCGATCATCTTTCGGACATCCTCCGGCACCCTCGCCGCCTGCGCCCAGGTTCTGATGGTCACTCTCTCGCTGTGTTCTGTCCACAGCACCCCGAGGCCTGGCTCCAGAACCGAGCGCCTATCCACTTCTTTGCCCACTTTGATTTCTCTAAAGAGGGCCTGTGACATCGTGGACGCGATGGGGTAGTCCACGACCTTCCTGATGAAGCAGTCGCAGTTCTTGTCAGGCCATGGAAGCATGAAGTCTCGATCTGGAATGCCCGACTCCACGCCCATGGCCCGCCATAGCTTCCACCCAACTTCAAGCCACTTCTCTTCGCAGATCCAGGCCTCTTTGCCAATGTAGAAGGGCAAGAGGATGACACGCTTGCCTGGGCCTGACGTCTTGGATCTGTTGACGATGCCCTTCAAACCATAGTCCAGCATCTCCATCGTCCGACTAGGCGAGCCCTTGGTGTCGTCAAACCTCATGCCCGTCCACAGCTTCACCAGCCTGAACCATGCATAGACCCGCGAATATCTCTTCACCTTCTCATCGCATACATGGATCTCCCATGCCACAATGATGGAGACTGGCAGCAACAGCGCCTTCCGTGTCGGCTTCAACTCAACCGACTGCAACCTCAGCGCTGCCTCCTCCAAGGCGTTCTTAACCGATGGCGCCCTGCAAATCTGCTCCGCCTCAGGCACTTCTCCAGCATACTCCAGAAACATGAGCGCCTTGTAGACGGATTCAGGGAAGCTCTTCGCGCAGGGCTCTTCTACCATCGCCTCGATGAACTCTGCAAAACACTCAGGACTGCCAGGCCAGAGATATCCAAAAGTTGCATCCATCCACCTGGCAGCCTTGGCCCATGTTTTGACATGCTTTCGAAGCGTGTTTGCACGTCTTCCTTTCGCCACCCTGATCAACAGGGCTTCATCGCTCGATCTCCGAGCCACTGGGAGGTTGGCGGACTTGACGATGTCGCGAATCTCTTTCACCCACCTGTCTCTCTCTTGTTTCTCCGCCAGCTCCCTCAAAGCCAAGTCACTGGACGCGATGTGCAACTTCATGCTGAGCCTGGTTGGCCATCTCGCTCGTCGTGCTGTGCCGACCATTTCCACCTTCGTCTTGACATCTTCGTGAACCACTTCCTCGAAGGTCCGCCGACGCAGCTCTCGTTGATGAGCTACGTGAGCATCCAGAAGGTCTTGTGCGCCCCGCTTGGCGTCGATCATGTGCCTTGTCTGCGCTCGGCTGCCAGCACGTCTCACCACCTCTGCCAGCGCTTCTCGACTGACGTCGAAGCCATCCTCTTTCTGCTGAATGTGCCATATCACGGCCTTCAGCACATCTTCTCCGCAGTCTTGCAGGGTTGCCAGTCGTGTGACTGTCCATCCCGACTTCTCCAGCACCGAAGTCTGCCAGGACGACAGCCCTGCAAGACTGCAGGCCAGAGACAAATCGTCTCCAGCCTCCATTGCCGCGGCGAAGCTGGACCCCTCTAACAGTCAAAAGGGGCGGCTTGAGCCGCGTCTTACCGGTTTGTTACGTGACAAGCCGTGTACTACGTACAACTAGCCATATTATATATAGACACTGTGTATAAATTATATGTCGATATATGTTTATACACATGATTCTGAAGGCGGCGGAGGTTTCAAGCGGCCGAGGAGAGAGCAACACAGCAAAATGGAGCAAGTATCAATTTTGTGCGATCAAGCTGCTGCAAGTGTCTTGTAATGCTTTGTGCCCAGCTTTGCTTTCAAGCCTAGGATAGCAAAGCAATCCCGACAATGATCTGCTAGACTGCCAGACTATGTATCTATATATATATATATCAATATATGAATACACGATTAATTAAAGAGATTTAAAGAGTGTATAGTTTGCCTGGGTCTCTAACTCGAATGTAGGATGGTTAGGTTGGTCTAGTCTAAAAGTCTTTATCTAGGCGCTCAAGAAGCTTCATTGTTCGTGCATGTCTGACTGGACCAGGAAACCTACGTAGCTTCGCTTGTAGGCAAGCTCAGCCTCCTCCAGCTTGCTGTTCCGATGGAGAACCTTGGGACTCCGGTCTCAGGGGTTCTCGATCTTTCATGGGCAAGGCCTACCTGTCTGCAAGTTGTGACTCATGGATAACCTGGATACTAAGCCTGTAAGCTACTACACAATACTATACACTACACACATCTGTACCTATTAGATGACACTGACACACGACCTTCGCAAAATCCGGCCTTCTTCGAGGGTTTTGGGCGAATAGGTCAGAAAGTGATACAGGCAATGTGGACAGCTCATGCCCAGCTTCTACTGTACATAAACCTGCGTCCAGTCCTGCCCTTTGCAGAAGAGTTGCTGCGGCAAGTCCTCTGAGGCATGACAATGTCCTCAAATGCTGATTTCCCAGCATAGCAGTGAGACCCTGCACAGCCTGACGGGACAGAATCTGTTTTCGGGACCGATGGCAGACAAGCAACTGAGAAAATGGACCTTAGAGGCATGGGGTGGCAAGAGTCCTCCAATGAATTGCTTCCCTTGTGGTGAAGCGGGGGGGGAGGCTGTCATTGCTTGTTGACAAGCCATTTAGAAGTTTGCCTTCCCGGTCGTGAGCGCTGCGCGGCCAGAGCCTGTCGGTACAGCTTCTCGGCCTCCAAATGCTTCCCTTGAGCAACTAGAGTTGCTGCTAGCTGGCCTGAGATATTGTGCCACAATGACCAAACCACAAGTCTCTAACAATCTCTCCAACTTGGCATCCTAGCCATTGGCTGGCAAAGCTTGGAGTATCTCCGACCAGGCGAGCCCAGTGGCGCAGTACTTCGTAGGTTGGAATATCTTCTCCCATTTTGGTGGTCCGTGTCTTGACCACTTTGCGCAGCAATGTCTCAGCCTGCGCCAACCAGTGACCAAAACCCTGCCCAAGTGGCTGTGAGTCAAAACTGGGGGAATAGTGATTCCGTATGGAGCAGCCACAGGGTGCTTGAGATTGACCAACACCACACCCGGTTCTATGTTTGTCAACCCTAGTCTTGGTTGAGGTCCTACTGGTAGTACCATCCTTGTCTCACCCTTTTCGCAATGGAAACATGTATGGCCTCATTCAGCTGAAGAATAGGCTACAATAGCATTGTGGCATTGAGGCCCTCTACAATACAACGGCCCAGCTTCTTGATGAATCCTTCCAAGCTTCCCAAGAAAAAGGCTATCCATGCGTCTATCGTGTGTATGACTAAACCAAGTGTTCAGTCATTGCCATTCAAACCCAGTCCTCTCCGTATCTTCCTTGCCTGAGTGTTGCTTGGAAAAATCTGTTCAAATCTGGCAACAACGGACCTCTGTGTTCATTTGTAACTGGGATTTGGCAATTGCAAGGTCGGCCTAGACATGTCATGTGTGGTGTCTACAACTTTACCAGCAATGCAAATACGTAACCACATGCCACTCCCACCTATTGACCTTTAACTGTAACTCTTATCCCAAGTTGCTCATGCAACACTTTGGCAAGTCCTGGGTTGTCAGGGAACAAGAACAACTCAAGATTGAGCGTGTGTTGGTGGAAGCACGCGGCAAGGAAGCTCTGATCGGCTCTGATGCAAGTTAAAATTAGTTACTAACCTCTTCAATGTTGAGTCTTCATGAGACTACAAAATAATCTGCAGCAAAGAATCCAGTCATGCTGTCTAGGCATTCAGGATGATCATTGTTCTGCCGAGCTCGAGAACTCGCTAATTCTATCCGGTAGCGGCTCTCCTACCGAGTGGACAGCTGGTCTCAAAATATCTCGAAGCCCAGAGAAAGAATGAACTGCGGTCACTGGCACCAAATTCTGAGCTGGCATCGCCACTAGGTTGGAGGCCATTGCTTTTAGGTTGGAGGCCATGGCTATTATGTTGCCTTTGTATGCCTTTGTTTCTGTGTTTTTGTCTAACACAAACTGCTTCTACTCCGATTCGAAGGGCCGCTCCTCCAACTCCAGCCATGCTCCAGTCTGCGGAGGCTTCATACGGTTCATTCTGCCAGGCTGGCGCTTCCACCCCAAGTCTTTGTTTTTGCAGTTCTGAAGCTTTATTGAGCATGGAGGATGGTACGGGTGTGTATGTATGTGTATATATATATATACACATATTTATACAGTACAGTAAGAGTCTACTTGTCTTTCGTCTTGCGCAAAAAACAGGTGTCCATCACCAAGCCATACGATGCCTGTTGGGCGCAGCTTGAGAGTGGCAGCCAGGGATAAGGCCATGCAACAAACGTGAACCAGGGAAAGTCACAAGACGTAAGAATCATTGAAGCAGTCAACTGGGCCTCCTAATTCTCCTCTCTACCCCGGAAATAGACGTCATTCATCATATTCAAGAAACCAATTTCAGACATTTGAAAGGATCCAGCTTCTGCTTGAGCACTTCCTGAGAGCTGCACCATGGCCTTTTTGGCACTGTTGTAGTCCAAGCACCGGCGGCGGAATGAAGCGAGAATCTGGGCGAGCAGGGGAAAACTCACTCTTCGTATCTTGTCATGACCTGGGTGACCTTATATCATATCTTCGGGCTGCCGAATTTAAAAGGACAAACAAGTCCTTGTTACTATATAATAGTAGCTTCTTGTTCCTAGTAGCGATGGCCTCCAACCTAATAGCGATGGCCTCCATCTAGTAGCTTCTTGCAACAAGCACAAGAGATGATGTTAGGCAAATGTCACAAAACACAGCTCGTGTGAAAACCATGCTCACTGCTGTTTCCACAAAGGAGTGGCTCTGGACTCTGGAGTGAACACTTCATGCATAGGATCGGTGCCTGCAAACAACTCTCAAGCAGCATGTCCCTTGGTAACTTCGCATTCTGCGCAGGATCCAAGGCAATCATGGCTGCCTGCCGACATGTGCTCCATTCACCAAAAACCTTTCGTGAACAAATGCGGTCAGATTGTGTATTTTACGCTACACGAACATGCTGACCTTGAAACTCTGCCACGTAGACACCTCGCCTGCTTCAGCAGAAAAGCCATGAGTGGCGCAATGTTGATGCTGCCAAAAATTTGCCTGTCTGGCTGGCCAGGTTTTAGGCGGTCTAGCCAAATTGCAGAATATACTCAAACAGTCTCAAACATACAAGTACTTGTACTTGCAATTGCTTGGCATCCCACCTTGCAGAACTGATTACGGTCAGGCTTCGTGTGTGTGTCCTTCATGGGCACACTCACTCTGATGTATAAATGGGAAACCACAACTCATGGTGGAGAGGGGCCATGAGAGTCCCCCAAATTTCCTGATGAGGTCAGAACTGGCAGAAAGGGCCACGTTGATTGCGGGTTAGGGATGGAAGATTGAGGACCACAAGGTGTGAAGTCCAAGCATGACTACTGCATGTTGCAATCAAAAGCAGCTTGCATAGGCCCTCACAAGTTGGCTGAGCACTGCAGAACTTGGACGAGCGTCTTTTGTAAGGCGTACGGCACTATCACCAAGCACCATGCGCAAACATGCCCAAACTGTCTGACGCTTTGTTTGTTATACAGTGATACACCTATGTCAAAGACTTACAAGTCTCCGCTGCAGTGATCTCCCAAGCTGAGATCTGCTGGAATCTCCGGTGACCAACAAACTTCAAGTAAAGAGTTCAGAGTTCTTGCATAGTGCTGGCGGTTTTCAATGCTGTGGTAGAACCTCATGAACAACAGTCAAATTTACTTGTATATATTTGGTGAGTAACCATGAACCATGGGGTTTTATAAATCTCCCATGTTCATCATGTTAATCTGTAAGTAGCCCAATTTGGTTGACAACTCGGACCTTCCTTCATATCCAACAAGTGTCGAGGTAGCATATCAACAACTCTGTCAACTCATACTACTACTCAATGACTTTGTACATACAAGCAATTGAATCTAATGAATAAAAGATTGTCCATGTGATGAATGTTGCTTCGCCCACTGTGAAACAATTCCTGGTCCTCAGTAGCCTCTCACCTTTGCAGTTGGTGTAGAGGATAGCTGCTTGTACAGCCAGAGTTTTTCGATCTCGACTTCGTGGGTAGTCCTCCGAAGTTGAGCAAACTACTAGTGCGCGAGATGATGCTGAAGCTGATGCTCCCCTGCACAGTACGGCAATCTGATATTAGCGATGCTGGGCCCACATGGCCTGGAAAAGGCAAACAAGCTTTGGACCGAAACAATAAGACATGGCATGCTTAGTCACTATCTTGGACTAAAGTATTCTATCAAACCTTGTATCGCTTTGCATTGGAGTATTCCATTTCGTTAATGAAATCCAAACATTGTAACATCGCAAATAAACTTAAACAAAAACAAATATGTTCTTTTTCTCGGATCCAATAATGACCCCACAAACCCGTATATAAGGTTCGTTATAGTTGGAATGCTGGATGGTGCTGCTTTCCGAATCCTTGAAGATGGCAAGCTTCGCTTGCTTGAAACTTAAAACAGCTGTCCTCATCGCTATCTGGCTCAACCTCTGGGAGCAAAGAGAAGGTCACTGACATATCTGGAGACAAGCGTGGCACCTGGGCACGGCAGGTGGTCCGGTTTTGACATCAATGTGGGAAGGTTGGAAGAGTCAACCAGAGGGGCAAGCTCTGGAAGCGTTTCAGTACTATGAAGTCACAATTCTCAAAATCTCCAAACAATCCAATCCTCCAGCCGTTTGTCGTTGGACTTGGTCGTGAAGGAATGACAACCGTCCATTCAATCGGTTGATCGGATAACAGGGCCAGGAAAGGCAATGGGGAACATGGAAGTGCGTCATGGTTGGCCACCCTAGGGAGTGGTAGGGTAAAAAACTGGATATATTAAACATAGAAGTGTCCAGAAGTGCGACGCACTTCTGCGTAATTCATTCCCGAATGCGTAGCGAAGGGTTCTCGTTTAACTCTGGGGGTCTGGGGGTAGAGTCTTGTTCGCGATCCGTTGTTTCTATGTTCGCAACCGTCCGCAACCGTCCGCAACCGTCCGCAACCGTTCGCAACCGTTCGCAACCGTTCGCAACCGTTCGCAGTAGGACGCTAAGGCGCTGCCATTGGGGGAAGCTTTTGCAAGTGACTTTTCATGGATGTGTCACGTGTCAGTTTGCGACGCTATTCCATTGTGATTTGCATGAAAATGACATGTCGCGCAAGAAACGTGACGCATTTCGCTGCACAGGCGCAGTGGTTTGAGAGATCCGCAGTTTACTGCGCAGTTCCATTGGGATTAGCGTTTGGAGAGTCGTGTTTTTGGGGTGTTGGATGTGGCCGTGCCATTGGGATTTGCATTTCAGGGTGTGGCCTCGAAGCTCTGTTTTCGTGACAAGTCTCAGCTGAAATGGCGATTTTGGTGGATGGGAGTGTGCTCAGAACGGGTCGAAATCATTCTAAACGTGTGGTGTGGTGCAAATTTTGTTGAAGCTCATGTGAGATGATATTCTCACTTTTCGTGGCAGGCACAGTACTTTGTGCTGATTTTGAGGTGTGGAAGTGCGATTTTCGTGGCAGGCGCAGGAAATCGTGAGGTTGCGAGGTGTGACGGAGGTGTGACGGAGGTGACATTTCGTGGCAGGCGCAGTACTTTGCGCGCGTTAGACGTGTGGATGCGGAAAGATTCGTGGCAGGCGCAGGGAATCGCGAGGTCGTGAGTTATGGTAGAGGTGAATGTCGCTGTCACATTGGGATTGGCGTGTGAGCGGGTGTCGTTTGGAGGGGCTGGAATCGCGAAATTGCTAGGCAGGGCTGCGTGATGTGTGTGCTCCGATGGGTGTTTCCGCTGGACTTTGACTTTTGGAGGAAGTCTCGTGCGAAACGCTCGTTTTTGAGACTTGACGCGTGACTTTTGGAGGAAGTCTCGTACGAAACGCTCGTCTTGCAGCCTCGCAGCGTGACTTTTGGAGGAAGTCTCGTACGAAACGCTCGTTTTGGAGACTCGACGTGTGACTTTTGGAGGAAGTCTCGTACGAAACGCTCGTCTTGCAGCCTCGAAGCGTGACTTTTGGAGGAAGTCT